AGTTTCTTCCTTAAAGGAGCAACCTGTTCCATGAGATATTACATGAGACTGCTTAAGTATTTGTCAAATGCTGTGTTACACCTATGGCATTATAGAAATATAGTCAGTTTAACTAATATTCTGGGGTCAGCATTAGAGTGGTTCAAGGTTTCCATTCACCTGATATTTCTATTGTAACAGTGTGAGAGTGAGCTATATTTTCTTTTGCTTCCAGTTCACTTAAGAGTTGCTTGGGTGACCAGGTATAAGAAATTAAGTGGGTTTACTCACAATAGAAAGTTGGTTTATATGTTTGATTCTACCACTCTCTACTATAAACTTTTTGGCAAAAAAGAGACTGAGACTTGTTCACATGGTGTCTCAGTTCCCAAAGTCATCCTCTGTTTGCTGCAGACCTATGACTTGCTTATGTTATAGGTTAGACTTAGAGATATAAACGTGTATCCTGTACTCTAGCTTGGGTTAATTGGCCAGGCAAAGTCAGGAAGAGGGGATTGGTAGATTAGAGCCTGGACATGTGACATGCTGGTACTCACTCTGGTATAATCAGTCTCTGCCTTGATGTACACAGGGAACAGAAAGGTTATGATCGGCCTTACTCAAATACACTGTAGAATATCTCTTAAAAACATATTGGGTAAAATCCACTAGTGCAGTTACACAAGTGTAGGTTTCATTAGTTTGTCCCCATCTCCGATAGACAGTTCTTTCCCTTACACACACAGTACCTGTGTCTTACCATGATGGAGGTCATGCAGCTGTATTGAGGGGAGGCTCATTTTGTTCAAGGCAAACAGTCTATTATTGTTTCCCTGGTACCTTGTGATGTAATAGAGCCAAGTGTAGAGCCAAGCTACCCCTTGATCACTGCACATCTGTCCTCTCTGGATCCTGGTGTTTACATCACTGTACAGAAACCAGTGTAAGTTACATTGACGTAAACATGCCAGCTGTCCAAGTCCTGAGCAAAGAATACGAAAAACCTTAGAGAGCCATATTCTTCTGGACTTGCAATTCCATTTGGTTAATATTGTTCTCTATACCTAAAGCATCTCAGATAAAAGGGTCTGATTTTCAGGAACTGATGAGTGCCTTCTCCTGAAAATCATTCTTTTCTTGTTTGTTGCATTTATTCAACACCCCAAAATGGGGATAAACTAAAACTCCTGGGAACGAAATTCTCCACAGTTGGTGGCATTCAAGTTCAGAGGCAATTCGTTGTCTTTAATGGGACAAGCCAAAAAAGGTTTCAAATGCCTCTTAGCCTAGAGGGCTTAACATCCAGATCCTAGATATGGAGCACAGGTCTGATTTTCAGATTCTGCCCTGAGGATTGAAAGGTAGCCGTGTCTGTTGCTCAGATAGAAGATAATCAGGGGCAGAAAAACCTGTAATATGGAGGGGAAATGCTGTCTCTTCTTCATGGACAGAGGAGACTAAGGATTGGAAAAGGAAGCCAAAGGGGAAAAAAATGCGTATGTCAATCTTCCCATTAAGATATGAGCTGGGGATTCCTTAAGAGCTGTTTCTGCTTTGAACCGTTCATTCAGGAGGAGGTGGTAGGGCAAACATGCTAAGCATATGCAAAGGTGATTGCCTGGAAGACAGCATTCTGCTGAGGAGAAGACATGACCTCTCTGACGACTGCACATCTCACAAGGCTCTTACCTTTTTGGACATGCATAATGTTTCTTAGCTGTGTGCACAGAAACTTGAATTCATTTCCGCTGCTTTTAAGGTCAATATTTATTCTGCATATTTGAAACAGGCCAGATATTTGATTGGCTTAATAAAGAAATAGAGTATTATTGAGTCATCAGAAAACCAAGGGATGTGGGAAAATTTTCCTGCATCTGAATTGTTCTGATTCACAGTGGTGTAACAAGCTGAGTTGGCTCCTGGGATAAACTTGTGTGGGAGAGCAGGGTGAGTGAGGGCATGAGTTCTGAGATCAGGACCCAGGGCACACGGGTTCTAAGAGCAGGGGAGGGAGGAGGCACACAGGTCCAAGGGCAGGGATGAGGGAGGCAGCAGTTTATTTGCAACAGTGAACAGCAATCTCAAATGCTGGAGTAGGATACTCTAGAGCAGTGCCACAATCGCCCCCAACTCCCTCTCAGAGTCGTGGCAGCATTGCCATGCCAGGACTCTAAAATAGGCCTTTTGGAGCTGCCATGTGCTCTGCCTGCCTCGGCTGTTGCTTTTAAAGCAAAAGCAGTCAGGACCTATTTTGAAGTCCCAGCATGGTATGCTGCCAGGGCACCAACTCTGTGTGGGTAGGGAGTGATTCCAGCAGTCCCCCTGACTTGGTGTCTAGGGCAGGCATACGTCTTGCCCACCCCTAGTTACACTACTGCTTGTTATTTTTATTACTCCTTTCCTTCGCCTTTCATTTCTCTTCCAAATTATAATTTTGGGTCTGAATAGTAAGTGCCAATTCTATAAATCTTTCATTTTAATAACAGAAAGAAAAATAAGCTGAAACGCCCTATACTTTTCACACTGCATACCACAATATTACTTGTGCACTGCTTAGAAAAAATGTGAGGAGCATCAGTTCTTGTGGAAAGTATGTTGTAGGGTGCAAGTCTTCTCTGATTATTAGGCAAATGTGCAACTAGTTACAGTTATTTTCATTACAGACAAATCAATGTGTCCTTTGAAAAGATGAAGAGCATTGCACAAGATATCCTTGTCAACCTGAAGGGTTTCAAGCAGAGATCCTGAAAGGCAGACATTTACAGTGTTTTGCTTACACGGCATGATGCCTATTTACGAGCACTCTCATGTGTGTAATCTGCATTTGTTTTGAGGCCTTTTCCTATGGGGGAATACTATCTGTGTGAAAAGCTTAGATCTGCTGCATCTGCGGGCACCTACCTCCCAGGAAATCCCAGGTTCAGGCCAGCAGTTTGGAATAACCCCAAGGGGCTTGTGTGTCTGCTGCCTCGCACCTTGTGCGGTCCTTTACACTGGTGTCAGTGGAGCACTGGAGTGGAAAATCCTGTTCTAATGATATCATGCAGAACATGCAGAGTTGCTTTAGACTATGATTGCTTCATCCAACGTATTTTCAGTGCAGCCAGCTCTCTGAAATTCAGCTGCACTTCACGTCTCTCTCCTCCTTACCTTTGTCTTTTTCATTTAGATTATATGTTTTTGGAGCAGGTTGTTTCTCATAGGTATGTGCATGGTGCCTAGTACAAAGAGACACTGATTGCAAACAGGCATTCCACAAACTATAATAAAAAAAAAATTATGATAGAAATGCATTCACGCCCACTGCAGCACAGATTGTTGTGGCATTTTTAATGAAAAGCTACCATGAAAAGCAGCGGTGAAGAGATGTATAGTTCTCTCTGTTTTACCAAGTTCTAAATGTTTATTTTCTTCTATACTGGTTTCTTCTTTATTGAATTAAATTCTGCATGAAGGAGCAAAGGATTATACATGAAGAACAGGTCAAGAGGAAAAGGCTGTTAGTGCCTCTTAAGTGCAAGAGGTAGCAGATGCTGCCTGTGCTGCTATGCGTTTGCTACTATGAGAACACAGCTAGTTTATTTTTAGCATTTCACCAAAGTCTGCTAGATTAGGTTACCTCAGCACTGCAGTATTGCCATGTATTTCCCTGTTATCACTGTAGGGATACACAGTGATTTTTAAGATGATGAAAACTACAAATGCTTTTGTAGGCTGTGGAGCTGCCATTGTGCTCCGGGTAATATCCAAATCCCTAATGAGAAGAAAGTTACTAATGGCTGCTTCAGTTTAAATGTGTTTAATTATTGAATTTACTCTTTGTATTATCCAGTCACACCTATATTCTCCAGTCAAGCACACAATGAGAGAGAGCCTCCATTTTTAAGAGCTTGCACCAGAAATGGGCAAGGTGGATAAGGATGGGCAGGGAAAAAAGGGTTCAAAGACAGGGAATGACTTGCCTATGGCAGTCCCGGTTTCCTGAGTGCCTTCCCTGCTGGATCACACCACTTACCAAAGGCTTTGTGCTAAAGCATGCCTTTGCCCCTTGGTATGTCAGGCCAGTAATATCTTGTTCTCTCTCTCTCTCTCTCTTCCTCAATTGTACTCTTGAGGTTAATTACTTCAGATGGCACTGCAGAAGCTGGGAAACAACAGGGGTGACTTTCAAGGAGTCACCTGCCATTTTATCTTTGGCTGAATACGCACCCTTAAAACAGAGAAAGGACCAAGAAGGAATCATGCAAAGATCTCCCCACCACTGCCACTTTCTCAGTATAATACAGCAGTATCTGGATTGCAAACCCTACAGGGAAATGTTAATGTAAAATTGTATATCTATATCGATAGAGATCTATATCTGTCTCTATCTATATAGATATTCATATCTATCTATATATAAATGGATTGATATATGTGTGTGTATGTGTATATATATATCAACCAATCAGTAGCATATGCATTTGTTTGTAGCTAGTTATCCTTAAAATCTACATATGGATCCAAAATTGTCTTCTCCTAACCCTCACAACACCCTTGTGACAAACTACAGGTGAGTGGTTGTTAAATTGTCTTAATTTTCCAAATGGGAAAGCTGTGGCACAGAGCACTGGAGGGGCGTGCTCAAGATTTTCCAGGAAAGCTGTGGTCCAGCAAGCTGCCCTGCATGCACCGACTGCTGTAGAACATTTTCAGAACAGTAGGTCAGTGGCAAAGCTGGGAGTAGAGCTCTGGTCACCGGAGTACAGTCTCTCTCTAGCTGGTAGGCAACTGCTTAAAAGAGTGTCTTTTGCAAATCAAACCCATGCATTTTACTCACCGTAACAGCTGTGCTTAATTTTGAAATTGGTCCTTACAGGACTGAAACTAGCACAAGCATCAGTGAGAAATAGGGTAAGGTTTTGAATGAAATATACCCTCACTGCTTACATGATCAATTGACTGTCTTTAAAAGAAATTGCAACTGTTTCATTAGGTGCAAACACCTTTACTTATTAAATAGTTTCTAATTTTCTACTAAGGGTTCCCTTAGGATGCCATCAGGGGCGGATGGGAGTTACTGCTCTCCAAACCATCCAGCTAGCTTCAGTGGACATGTCTCACCTTCTCAGCAGCCTGAATCAGTGGTAAATGCTATTAAGGTAACATCTCTCCAGTGCAGTACATGCTGAATGCCTTGTATGTTATTTGACACATGTTCCATCATACTTAGAGCATTAGCATACTTGGAGAAATATCACCATAGTATTATCTTCACAGATGTCTTTCCTGTTTTATGTTATTCATCATTTCTTTGGAGGGCCAGATCCAAAGTGCTCTTCTAGGTGCCCCAATTTAGACAGCTTGCCCCAGGACAGGGAGGATGAGGCATCTAGCTGTGCAATCTGCTGACAAAGGCACTCCCCTGGCAGTTTGGGCTGACTTGGGTTCCAGTCCCTGCTGCCAGCACTATTAATGGCTTTCACATTAGACACTCATTTGTTAAAAAAAGAAATAACTCAGGCACCAGGTCCCATAAACCAGGTGTCCTGCCTTCCAGGGAAATGTCCTCATTACTGGGGTAGAGAGGCAGTCTCCATCTTGTCCCTTCGTGTCTGGTCCTGTAACTCTTATACTTTTGAGTACCCAGTGACTCAGCTTCACAGCTTCAGCAGGAGGGGTGGAAGGTGCCCTTCTTTCTCTTGAAAGAAGGGCAAGGGAAAGAAGTGGTCTGTAGCATTGTACCTAGGGTATCCTTCTAGGAGGTGAGAAATGTAGGTTAGAATCCCCTTTGTTTTATGGCAGCCTAAAACCCCCATCTCCCAATTAATTTGTGAAGGCTCTGAATACACGTGCAAAAATGGGCACTACTGCTACCTGTGTTTGAGTTAATGTGGGTGCTGTGCTTTGTACTGAACTGAATGCAGCTTTCAGTGTCCAATGGGCATTAGCTTTGCTCTCTGGATGCCTAATGGATCAGGGAGTTTCTGGTACAGTCCTATTTTACCTTTATGAGTTCCGATATGTAGCTACACAACTGTAGTATTCGGCACTTTCACACAATTTGGATCCTATTTCCACCTGTGGCAGAATAGGATTGCCCATATATACATGTACCATCAGAAGTAAAACAGCCTGAGGAGAAAAAAATCCCACATTGCTTTTCTTTATTCTTTGCATTTAATAAAGGGGGAATTTCTGCCTCACTGGCACACGGCCCTGGGCTCCTTCACTTCCACAGTAGTCCCACTCACTAAGCCACACTTCTCTGACTTGCTTGTCTACATATTGAAGCCACCTCAGTGAACTCACTTTAAGAGGCTCGGAGAGTATTCTGGCTACTACCTACCCCATGACTGGGTGGTTATAGCACTTTGCTTTGGAGTGGGAAATGAAGGTTCAAAGTCCCTTTAGGTGAAAAGGGCTAAGAGCCTAGTTCTCTCACTGATGGGGCTAAAAGTAGAAGTAGCCCATTCATTTATCAAACACTCACTAATTGTGGATTTTCTGTAACTAATGTTTGGGACTTGCACAATATTATTCATGTGCCCAGGAGATTCTCTTCCATCCCAGAGCCTGCCTGGCCATAGTGCAGCCTTCTGAGCATGTTAAATTAACCAAAAACCATGATTGTGCTCTCATGTAAGTGCCTCTTAGGCATGTGAAAGTAAAATAGGATTTAGCCTAAAGAGCCTCCCAGCTCTGATGTGGGTTGCAACAAAGCTTAGGAGGGACCTGAAGAATGGATGCTAAATCAGGATCACTTCTGCACATATTGAGCCTCAAGCTAGAATTGGGGTGACTAATGAATATAAGCCTCCATGGTCTTATGGGTAGCAGAGCATGATTGATCACTTTTGGGACTTAAGATCCTAAATTCCACCGAAGTCTGGTTCAGAGGCCTACAAGAACAATTTGGATCTAGCCATAATTTGGGGGGGGGGGACAGGGACCATCTTGTTGTTGTTCTTGTGTGTGTGTGTGTGTACTAAGTTTAGTGTAACGTGTTGCTGGTCCCTAATTAGGGCCTGTATTATAAAGTGTAATAATATATCTTTTCTCTGAAGATGATGAAATAGAGCATGCTTCTGTGTAGGTGAGGTTGTCTATTAGGGTGACCTCTGATTTGCATAATATGAGATGATAATGACCTGCATAGACAAATATTTTAATGCAAAGGTGAAGTTGGTATATATGTGTATAAGTTATGTGTATAGGTGGATCATACATACTTCACCATGTACTTTCAGAGAGCATAAATGAAACATCTTCTTTGGCAATACCTCGCAGTTGGGGGTCATTGTCTTCCATGATTGTCTTATCTGTGGGTCCGAAGATGGCTGACAAGGCTGATCCAGGATCGACAGACTCTGCTGCAACTTGGGCATGTGTTTCCGTGAGGAGTGGGTGGCTCTGGATTCTTGATTTGGTCCATGATGCACTAAAATATCAAACACTTAATTCATCTAATAGTGAAGATGATGTAAAATAATCACTGTTTTTATGGAAGTTAATATAAGAAGAGAATTGTTCTGTAACCTGGGGCCAGATTGTGAAGGGCTCACTTAGGCTGGTCAGTGGTCACTCATATGCCATCATAGTGACTTCAGAGGGACTCCTTGTGTGACTGACTAATGGTTTGCTTCTGTGACACCTTGTAATTCTTGCAGCACTCTGTTTCACTTTCTAAAACACAATGAGCTACCACAAGCTCTCTGTGCTCTATCATGAGATCTTAGTGGGCAGCTTTGTTGCGCTACTAAACATGTATCCACAATGTAAAATAACTCCTTGCTCCTTTGGGGATACTTTAAACCTTTGGGTTAATTAACAAAGAAAGGCATGGTCTGAGCATAGTACCAGGAACAAGGTTCTCCAGACAGCACCTGGCTGATCTTGCCTTCGGCTTTGTGCCTTCAGTCTCTGGCACAATGTACTTATTTTTAAAATGAGAGTAAGATTTGCAGTCTCTTCTGGATCTGACTGCTAATAACCTATTGTAACAACCCCCCCCCCCCCCCCCCCCCCCCCCCAAAATTAGTTACTTGTGTGTTCAGTTTTGAACTCTTCCCTGGGGGTAGGAGGAGGGGAGGGAGTAGAAAGGGCCACTGGTAAGTTTTGGCTGAGAAAGACCAGGTTCAGGATTTGCTAAGTTTTTTAAAGATGCAGAGTACTGTGTATCCACTGAGAGTTAATATTGATTTGACTATATTTGTGATTTGGAAAGCAAATTGTCCTCCATCTGGCTGGGTGACATTGCTGTCTTCTGTATAAAGCCTGAGTAAACAAGTTTTATGCAGGTGAAGTGAGTGGGAGTTACAACAGGCAAATCCATTCCTGCAATATAATACCAAGCCTATGGCTGCAATACAGTGTCTCTGCATGCACTGCTCCAATAAGTGAACTGGGAGAGCACTAACATTAGTCCATCTGCATATAATTGCAGGTTCCATAGCTGCTTACCTGGCCTACCCCTGTAACCATCCACACTGAGTCTGGCTAGAGACGGTGCTAATCCCAGCACTGTTGTATACCAGGCTGGTAAAGACATTCAGCTTCCCTTGTGCTTGAGAAGTGCAGGTTTCAGCAAAACTGAATGTCTTGTATGTGTCCTCCATAGATGGGTGCATTTCACCTCCCATTGTATAAAATCTAAAGTACACAAAACAGTTTGGCTGGGAGGTCATGTGTTTTACAAAATTAGCTTATTGAAATTGACTGTAAATACTCCCTGAAAAAGTCACTGTATTGAATGGAATGATTATCAACCTGTTTCTGAAAATCTGCAATTGCTGGTTGGTATTAGTGGGTGTGTATAACAGTAAAGTACTCAGTTAGGTTTGGATTGATAAAATGTACACAGAATTTAGTTTTCTGTGAAATCCCTGCTTGTAGGATTAACATTAACATGCAAAAATAGGTATGTGTTGCCATTGTATTCTAAATAAAAGATGCATGTCCAGCTAAATGAAACATATTCTCATTATCAGTCAAACAGGAGATTGTGCTATCTAATATATTGAAATACCATAAGTTTGATCCTCCATTTCTACAGTATCTGGCAATTGAGGAGAGCAGGATCAAGCAGTACATGGGCCCTACTCAAGTAGTCTACCATATTTTACAGACGAGTGTATGACAGAAATGATTAGTTAGTGAAATTCTTACCTGATGGGATGGGTTAGGGAATTCCCTACAAAATAGGAAAAAAATTACAGGCATGGGATTACCAAAAAAAAAAAAAGTTATTGTTAAAAACGCTTCTGTTTTTGCTGCAAGTTTTCATGGTCTTACAATGGAGGTGTGTTCCCCATTGGGGAAGAAATCGATGAAGCATAGTCAAGGTTGTGATTTACTTATTTATAAGATGCCTGTATGTCCCAATCCAGTGAAGAGACTAGATGCACACAAGGCAACTCCCTCTTGCAGACATCTCTTCCTCTTCTCTCCTGGCTGGGGTTTTGAATGCACCTCCACTCCCTTCCAGAAGTTATATAGGAAGTGTGTAGACAATAGAAAATTACTGTTCAGTTAAGTATAGGTTGTCACAACTTTGGCAAATTAGAACCCTATGTATTTAGTAGAAGTGAACTTCACTTAGTGTAAATAAATGATTTATAAACATAACTGGGACACAGGTGCTCAATCCCAGCCTGTGGGCTGGATCTGGCTCCTGGATCTGTCATCCAGCCTGCAGGACTCCCCATGGGTCTGACAATTTGGTAGTGGGGGAGCAGTGGCAAGATTAATTGCTGCTCCCCTATTTCCAAATTTACAGACCCCTAATAGTGTGGCCTTGCATCCTAGTTCAGGCACACAGGTGGTATGGGATCCAGTCCCAGTGTGCAGGTCCAGGTGGGGGTAACAGAGTGCCAGGTCCTGATTCTGGTGCACAGGGCCTGATCCTAGTGCATGGGCATGACAGGAGCCCAATTCCAGTGCATGGGGATGGTGTGGGGCCCCAGAACCCAATTCTAACATGTGGGGCCAGGTGGGGGCAGCATGAGGTGCCAGGGCCTGATCCTGGTGCATGGGGATGGGTGGTGTGAGGCCTGATCCTAGCATATGGGCCCAGGAGGAAGCAACTTAGGACCTAGTCCTGCCGTGTGGGGCCTGGTCTGGCCCATGGACTGACCCCATGCTACTCATCTGGTCTGTGGGGCCAAAGGTTGAGCTACTGGTCTTGGGTATTCACAGTCATCCTGCAGTCTAGCTGTAAGGGTACTTACCTGGGAGCTGGAGAGACCAGAATCCAGTGTCTGTTCCAATAAATACCTCATAGAAAATAATGAACTATATAGTGAAGTAGGGGCAGGATCCCAGATATCTCCTGGTACTCCTGGAGACTGCCCTAATCCCCTAGACTACTGACTCATGCTTAAACTGGGCACATCTACACATTCATTAATTTGCCATAATTACGGCACATTAAGTTTTGGTACCTGTAATAACAAGTACTAAACTTAATGCACCATAATTGGCAGTACTGTGTGGTAGCACAGCACACATTTTTTTATGTGATAGTAATGCACAGTAGACAAATTCTAAGGCACATTAGTGCATTAGCACAGCTTTTGCTGTGACGTGCTAATGTGCAGGAGAATTAGTCTACTGCACTTCTAGTGTTTTGTGTAGATACACCCAATCTCTTTCCTTTTCTGGCCAAGTGAATATTTAAATGGAAGAGCTTCTACTGGAGGAATGACTGCAGCCATCTTCCACCTTGCAGAGTACCCAATTGTCCAGGTGATGAGTCAGTATCCTGAGAAGAGGGAAATGGTGGTTCGAATCCCCCCAGGAAGGTGAGGGTTATGAGCCATCCAAAGTGAATGCTCAAACTCCTGAGCTCCTGGTTAGAAGAGGACTACTGGATTCTATCCTGGCCTCTATAGAAATGTGCCTATTCCAGCTAGGTTATAGTGCTGATATAGGGAACAGCTTTGCTCATTGATTTTTTTGTTTCTCTTTTAAGGCTTGGAAGAGACCATTATGAATCTCTAGGCTGACCTGCTGCATAGAAAAGGTCAGAGAATCTCACCCAGTGGTCTTTGCATCAAGCCCTTCAATCTGTCACATTTTCAGAGTATCCTCTAGGAAATAATGTGCCGACTATAAATTAAAGCAAGGCTGTGCTTAAGTCACAGACAAGTTATTTGGCTCAGTAAAGGAGTAACTGGGTAAAAGCTAATGACCTGTGACATACAGGAGGTCAGATTAGGTGATTTAATGATCCCTTCTGGCCTTAAAATCAATGAATCAATGACATATGAACTATTTCATTATGTTGATACCTGCTAATGCGTATTTAACTGAATTTTCTTACACTGAGAAGCTTTTAAGAGGTTAAGTTTCTTAATGTTCTTATTTATAATTGCAGAACAAGCACCATTTATAAAATACATTTACTTTTTTTTAACATACCTAGGTCTTGGAAGCTCAGGAAAATATAGATAGTCAGCATGTTAAAGAATATGACCATGACCTTAGTAAAACAGAAAAAGTTATAGTCAGAGAAATATGCAATGTAAGTTTTAATGTACTTTGTATTATGTAATGAAGTCTAAAATCACATTGCTACCCAGGTTATTAATCTTTTAAAATGCTGACAATATAAGCTTAAACTTGTATGAAAATGAAGCCAATTCCTTTCTGATTTCCCATGTAATGCAATTTGTTGAATTTTTATTAGCATAATAATCATAACATTTTGGTCATCATGGATCAGCAAATTGTGCGTGTTTATAGAGAAAGGCTGATTCTGATATTAGCCTGGGCATCAGGTTTTTATCCCTGGCTTACCTATTAAGGCTAGAATTGTAAAAGGGTGAGATATTTCATAAGTATATTAATTTCTCAGTGCTTCAGTTCCCTCCCATTATAAAATGGCATAGTGATAATTGCCCAGCTATATATGGAGCTTTATGATTTACAAGTGAAAAATATTTTACAAGTACTAACTATTATAGCAATCCATAAAACTTCTGAGTATTTAAGTGATCCCATGCTTGAAATTGTATATTAAATTTGACATGACCAGTGTAGATTTGTGTTGAATTTTAAAATTCTTATATTAAAATATTGTTTGCTCTCTTTTCCCCCCCAGAAGTTCAAAGTTCAACACAAGAGTCTGTTTTTTACCTCATTATTGCTCAGATATATCTTGAATTTATTTTTTAAATCATTTGTTTCCACTCAGATTTCACCTTTCACCATGTGTTTTCAGATGCAGAGCAAAGCTTTGATTAGTTAATTATTATATTTCTTTTCTCTGCTCTCTGTTTCCATTTGGCTTACTCTTGCTCTGTGTTCTTAATTGTTTTTAAGATGATATATTTGCAAGGTGATCATTTTGCCTTTGTAATGATCAATTACTATTTTCAGAAATGGTTATTTATTCTGGGTACCTTACATTTTGGGTATTCACTTAGGAATATTTGTTGTCTTGAGTTCCCCAAATTTCTTGTCACTTCAAAACATGTTGTTCATAATTTGGAAATGGTTATTAATCTGGTGTGTGGTTTTTCTGATTTATAAAATGTTACCACTTCAGAATCTGGGGTTCTGGGAAAGACACCTAATTTTTTTCTAGCTCACTCATTTGAATCACAAGCAACTCCAAGATCTTTACATGCCCTTCATTGGCCTGGCTAAGGCCTTTGATTCAATCAAAGGTGGCCCTAAAGAAGATCCTAATGAGATTTGGATGTCTGTCAAAAATTGTTACCATTATCAGACTTCTTCATGATATCATGGCAGCAACTGTCATAAACAGTGGCTCAAAAATGGACCCTTTCACTTTTAGAACTGAAGTTAAGCAACAATATGTGATTGCACCAACACCATTTCCATCTATATCACAACTATTCCATATCTCTTGGCTGATATACTTCCATCTGGAATCAGTATCCACTATAACATGAATGGAAAATCTCCATAACGTCAGCCCATTACATTTCAAATCCAAGCTATTAGAGGGCAATCCTTGGAGAATGTTGAGCATTTCCTCTACCTAGGTAGCCATCTGTCCCAAAAAGTAAACATAGACAATGATAGTCAACACTGGACAACATCTGCCAGTGCTACCTTTGGATGTCATCAAAATTGTGTCTTTAGTGATCATGACATCAGGACCCAAACCAAACTTCTTGTCTACCACAGTGTTGTCATCCCTACCCTGGTATATGGGTGTGAAACTTGGATGACATAATTGAAACACCTGAAAACTTTGCAATATTACCATCAGAGATGTCTTCAGAAAAATCCTCCAGATCAATTGGAAGGGCAGAAGACTGAAGGCCAGTGTGCTGGCTCAAGCAAGCATTGAAGCCATGTTTATATGGCACCAGACCCACTACACAGGACATGTTCTGACAACCAGCTCCTGAAACACATCCTATAGTTGCAACTCACCTATAGTCACCACTGTAGAGGTAGGCAAAAGAAGATAGTCAAGGACACCTTGAAGGCTAATCTAAAGATATATATTACTATATTACTATATTAACATCAATACCTGGGAGACTAGAGCACTGAATTATTGACAAGACATCAAGCTTTTTGAGCAAACTTACTTTACTATGGAGGCAGATAGATGAGAGATGCAAAAGGAAATAGCTTTGACCTGTCATCACTGGGATCTACTCCTTCCTTCTGGAACTATTTATAATGTCTGCAGTCAAATGTGCGGATCTCAGATCAGGTTCCTCTGTCTTCTACAAACTCACCAATGACTTCTGTATTTAGTGGAAGACTTGTCATCCTCATATTGAGGGGCTGCTGCTGCTGACTTTAGCTGAGCCTCTGCCTCTTGCATTTGTAATCATTGGATAAAATGGATGAGCAGCAGTACAGCATAGAAGACTCAGCACTGTTGGGAATTATGGTCTAGACGAGAACCCATAGTCTACTTCTCTGTCAGCAGCCACCAGACTGAGCCACATACCCTTTGTTCTTCCTCCTGCATTCATGTGGCCTCCCCTTTTGGCTTCCCACGAGGCCAGCCTCAAATGGAGCATAGGAGAGGGCTCTGGATAATACTTGACCTGTGGTTTTCATTATCCAGAGTACTGTACTGGGAGGTTAGAGAGATGCCTGTTTAAACTCCTGTCTTTATGGTAAAGGATCCTAGAATCTGGCTTTCTCACTTCCTATTTAAGTATCTTAACTATTTAGCTGCTGGGCCTCAAACATGGGAGTGCTCTCCTTTCCTGTCTAACCCCTGCTAATCACATGTTTTCTGGCTGCGTACATTTGTTGGCCTTGGACACCAATAAATATCTGAGAGTGTGTAAATAGCCACAAATGTGCCTTGCCAATGTATAGCCTATGAACAGCTCCCCCCCCACCCCATGGCTGGTGCTCCCTGCTGCAGCCACTTGCAGCCCGCGTGGGGCTGCCTGTGCCTGCTCAGGACAGCCCTGTGCAGGCTGCGAGCAGCTGCAGCAGGGAGTGCCGGCCATGGGGCGGGGGAGGGGCTGCTTTTTCCCGCACTTAGCACTAGCTCGTTCCCTGCCAGGGAGCAGGGGGTCAGGGCTGCATGCTACCCCCGGCCTGCACTGCGGGGTTGGGGGGGCACTGGGAGTGAGCAGGTGCACGGGGCCCACATCAGTGTCCTGGGGCCAGTGCTGGCGGGGCCCAGAGAAGAGCGGCAGGAGTACAGGGTCCCAGCCAGCAGTGATGCTGTGGAGCTGGGCCAGCTCTCCTCTCTCCCTGCTGGTGCAGCCCAGCCCAGCTCCACAGACCCCTGCCAGCATGCGCCCCACTCTGGGCCCTACCGGCGCTGGCCCTGAGACATTGGCCCCAAGACATTGGAACATTGGCCCCAAGATGGTGACCAGAGGGCGGGGCACCTGTCAAGGGGTGGGGCTATCCATGTGGCCCTCGACAACTTGCCAAAACTGGGTAAGCGGCTCTCCACCCAAAATACCCCTGGGGTAGCTGCTCCCAGCTGGGAGCCCAGGCTGCTCCCAGCAGGCAGCTGGGATGCTGCAAGCCCTGTTGGGAGCAGCCCAGGCTCCATGGCTATCAGCAGCTACCCAGAGCTGTGGCCGGCTGCAGCTGGGAGACTACAAAGAGCTGCTGCCTCCTGGCCCCAGCCCCAACGAGCGCAGTGCTGGCACCTGCTGCCTTCCTGGAGGCCAGGGCCAGGGTGGAGGTGGGAGGAGCCCTGCTGCAAGCAGCCTGGCCTCCATGGCTATCAGCAGCTACCCGGAACCTGGACTAGCTGCAAACATCTGCTGCCTTCCCGTCCCTGACCCCAGCTGCCTCCCAGCCCCGGTCCCGGGCTCCAGGGAGGCAGCACATAGCAGCAACGCTCCCCACTGTGCTGCCCTTGCTGGTTCTGCAATTCAGCCTTGGAACCCACTGTGGCAGGGCACAGAAAGCTACCTGCTCCCAGCTGCCCTGCCACACTTCCCCTGCAGGTGGGGGCAGCAGTGAGGGTCACAACCCTGTGCTGCTGCTCACATTGCTCCCGTGCACAGAGAGGAAGTGTGGCAAGGCAGTGGGGAGCTCGGAGCAGGCAGCTTTCTGCGCCCCGCCGCTGTGCCTTGCCACTCCAGGTTCCAGCACTGCTTTGCAGAAGCAGTGAGGGCAGCACAGTGGGGAGCACTGCCGGTATGTGCTGCCTTCCTGAAGCCCAGGGCCGGGGCTGGGGCTGGGGCTGGGAGACGGCTGGGGCCAGGACAGAGGGAGAGCAGATGTCTGTAGCTGGCCCAGGTTCTGGTTAGCTGCTGACAGCTACAGAGCCTGGGCTGGTGGGCAGGGGCTTTGGGTGGGAGGCAAGGGTCATGAGCAGGGCTGGGGGGGCAGGGGCTTTGGGTGAGGGATAAGGGGCACAAGCAGGGCATCCTGCCATGTACCCCCTGCCCTCATTTTGTTTTTCTGGCATGCCAGCACTCCAGCACCTTCCAAGGTAGGCATTGCAGGGGCTTTCGGCACTCCGGCCAAAAAACGTTGCCTACCCCTGGTGTAGCCTGTCTGAATAAGATATAGTGCCCATTGCATGTAGTCCCCCTAAGCACCAACTCTTTTTCTAGTCACTATGCTGAATACATTTCAACTTCCTCTTCATTCCCACAGCTGAGTTGGGCCTTTCTTTTCCATTTCCAATGATTCCTATTTTTCACCAGTTTTATATGCCTGACAGACATTACCAAACATTTATGTAGCTGAGAGGCTCTGTTGACCCCCTCTCTCAGCCTGTCGCATGCAATTAGCATGGCCCCATCCACCATGAGGTGGAGCTGGGCCAGGCAGCCCCGCACCCCATCTGCATATAAATTTTTGGAGGATAAGAACATCTCGTTCCAGGCATGAGTAATTAGCACATGGATCCTTTGTGGGGAGTATGTCGAGTATGCATACTGAACAGTGCTGGGCTATGCGGTCGCTATGGCTTGACATGCTGTTGACACTGCTGGGGCCTAGTACAATTAATTATATGAAAACTCATGAGCCTTTTGTTTTTGGACTAATATCACGCATAGTTTATAGAGTACCCATGCTAAAAGTTGCAGCAATTTG